GTCAAGCGATATGGATACGTCATCTTTGCAAATTCCGTCGGCAATTTGCCCGGTCCTATTCGGCGCATTAGCGGGGTAATGGCAGTTATCTTAAATCACTTTATTAGCAACTCAGTGAGATGAATGAGAACGTTTGTTTAAAAAGTTGACTTTCTTTTATCGAGTCTTCAAGAACAAATTGAATAATGAACAATCTTACACTTACACTGAGGTGAATAATTATTTTAGTGTCAACCACACAATACTAGACATATAAGATTATTTGTTATTATTTTATTATTCATTATTTATTTTATTTAATCGCTTCCACCAGAAGGTGTCGCGGAGTTCCGCGAGTTTGAACTGTAGGAACTGGAAACTAGCGAGAGATCTGGCTGTAAGCTCGGAGGCTTGGCTTCTTAAGAACTTGGACTAAAAAAACGGGTCGGAAAAAAACGTTTGAACAGAGGACATTTTTTTTCTTTAATTTCGTAGTGGAATTGTAATTTAGAGTTTAAACGTAAATGTGACTGCATCCTCGGCGACAGAAGGTGCGGCACACACAACAGAGCATGGCTCCAAATTAGGTGAGCCCTTAAGGAAGACACTGCGAGAGTAAAGTGTCTTGCCCAAGAGCACAACGCATTGTCCCGCCCAGGTCTCGAACCCGGGCCTCAAGACGCGGGGTCCACTGCCCTGACCATTAAGCCACTGAAAAATAGCTAGTAAATAGTCTCTTGAGGCGCGTTTTTTATCTCCTTGGCTGCTCGTAGGTGACTATTACATCCTAATCACTTCCGAGCTACACCATTAGCTCACGAAAACCTCTATTTACCTGGGTAATAAAATTCTGGTGACGATTTGATTTTTTTATACAGGCAGGTTCCATCATCATGGCGGAAACCCGGACACCGGGAGGCGAGGGTTTGTACATTGCCGTCTCATCTCCAGATCTGAACTTCAACATGTCTTCTTCCAGGACGACTAGGCCTCTAAAGAAAAGCAGTGACCTCACCAGTGACGAAATATTCTACCTCAACAGTGAACCAGTAATTGTTAAGGTAATAAGCATTCAAAAGACAACACATCGGTTTTGTACGCCCTTGACCTTTGATGAACAATCTCTCGATCGGTCAAACTTCCTCGTAAAGAATAACCATGTTACTTGACCCGTAGCATTGGTGCTTTTTTTTTTAATGAGAGCATGTGGACTATTTCACGACGTTCTCAGTTAGAGGACAATTCAGTGTGTATTCCTTTATGTATTCTGGACGGTACATATAGTTTTAATTGCAGTCGAATGAGTAGGTAGCTGTATCTGTTGTTGACAGTCCAGATAGCTGTATCTGTTGTAGAAAGGGTAGATAGTTGTATCTACCGCAGACAGTTAGATACTTTCTAAAATCTACTATCGTGATAGACAGGGGAGATAGCTGTATTTATTGTCTACAAAGTGTAGATATAGGTAGCCATAAATATGTAAACTGGGTAGATCGTTGTATCTACCGAGAACATTCTGAGCGTAGTGTGCATATGCTATTTGAATGCAGTCTCTGGTAAAGCAGCTACTTGCTGTTCTCGGACGAGGTGCTACTTTAAAGTATGTCTTGTTTATACATTATACATATATGGGATTCGGAAAAATGATGTGTCGAAAAAAAATCGGGTAATTTATTTTAGAATGCTATAAAATCAAATGAGTATTTGATTCTTGTTTTCACTGTTCACTTACCGATTGGTCAGCATTGGTGCACTCCTATAGCTGACTGAAAGGGTTTTTCGTGGACATAATAATCAGATGTTTGAAACTTACCACGGAAGTTTACAGAAATGCTCAAAACACAAACGGTTAAATGTACTGTGTATTGTTTTAGGTGAACTTGAGAAGGGCAGTACATTTTGATCCTAATAGTGTGATGGTGACGGTGAACGGGGACGTCATTGGACAAGCGGATACCTATGTGGAATTGGTACAAAAGGCTCCAAACCTTTGTAAATTTTCAAGTCCGTGTGCGAAACAAATCAAGTTCAAAAATCTCGTGAAGGGTTTCACTACAGAAGTTCATTTAACGCAAGTTCACCCAACTAATTCGTGATTTTGATTATCCTCTTGTCAACTTGATATGAAAAAAGGTAGCAAAAACAAAGCAATAAAATTACCGTATACCGTGCTATTCTTTGTCGTTTCTAGACGGGTGAAACAAATCGGCGATTTATGAAACAATTCCACTTCCTTCCTCGACTGGCTAACAATAACCTTTGTCGGTTGATGATTTTTTTCGCTAGCGGAAAGCACATACGAAGGTAACAGTTCTCTACAGACAACTTTTCTAGCTGGTACTATAGTATACAAGTATGGTAGGCCAAAATAAGCATGAAAATAAAAGACAAAGAGAATATACAGAAAACAAAAAGCATCAGAAAAAGGTAACCAGGCTCGCACCTGGTTGCAAAACACTGCAACTGAAATAGTCTAGTCATGAATTCAGTTTAGTATAGCCCCCAGTTTCTTTTAAAGAGGACTTGTATGCGAGTCAGCGTTTTCCAGCTGACAAGTGAAAATGCTTACCGTCATTTCTAGCGCTTTCCATCGCTCTTTTATTCTTTCTTATTGAGATGGACATTTGCTCACTCGTTGATTTTGAAAATAGATCTTTTATCCACCGCGCCTCTGTTGAATTGTTTTGATACGCAGAGAGAGCTCCCTTTTGAAAAATCAACCCACATTAAGGTGATTCCTAATTTACGCAATGCGCATCCTGTACTGCGCATAAAATCACGTAATCAGGCGAGGAAGCCCGCGCGCATTCCGAGACCACAGTATTGTTTTTCAATCAATGGACTAGGTAAAGAGATACGATGGTTTCTACCTCTTGAACGAGCACGGTGACCTATACTTTCTATTGCATAATTTTGGCGAACAAATTATTCCCTTCAAATCGGAGAAATTTAAAAAAAAATTCATCAAAGGGAAAAAAAATATGAAGTGGAGTTGCATTGTATGCATTGGAAAATGTGAAACACACTGTAAGAAGGGACCTAGAGGAAGATTTTGAAGTCATATGGATAGAAATGCAACTGAATAAAGTGAATTATTTAATTGGACGCGTATAAAGGGCTCCAGACGAATCCCTTGAGGTTTTTTATTATTTGGACGATGTTATGAGGCATGCGACTAAAAATGATTCAGAAGTCATTGTTATCGGTGATCTCAACTGTGACATTAATAACACCTCAAGGCAGACAGAGAGGCTGCTGGGATTTACCATAGTCAACGAACTTGAAAAACTGATAAAAGAACCAACCCGTGTGACTTCGACATCAAGCACTCTTATTAATGTGTTAATCACCTCAACACCCAGGTTGTTTAAGAAGGCAGGTGCAAGCAGTATCGCTTTTGGCGACCATTATCCCATCTTCGGTGTCATTCATGGCCCAGCGACTCGTCCGAACAAACATCAGATCATAACAACGCGCTCCTGGAAAGACAAAAATGTAAACGATTCTATGGCAGATCTGAAGCAAGCTCTATGGAGCCTGATCGAGTCTTTTTAACGACGTTAACGGCATGTGTTAAGCCTGGGAATCACTGATGAAATATCTGATTGACCAACATTTTCGGCTAAAAAAGAAGTGTATTTGAAGACAGACACACCCTTGGCTTGACAGTACTGCTCTTAAACTCATGAAAACACGCGATCAAGTAGACAAGAGGGCAAGAAAGCCGCGACTGTCTTCTGATTGGAATGAATATAAATCCCTTCGAAATCTAGTCACCACTATGAACAGAAAAGCCAGGAAGATATGAGCTCGAGGAAAACCGCAGTAAACCCAAGGCCTTTTGGGACACAAAAAGTTAAGTCTTGCCCTCCAAGAAAAACCGCACTGAGATTAACAAGTTATTGGTCGATGGTGAAGAGCTAATCGACACGCGTGACATCGCAGATTCACTGAACGAATTTTCTACAACAATCGCTTCCTCGTTGTTAGCTAGTCAGCGGTCCCACTGCTACCCAGTTGAGCTACAACAGGCGAACCCTTTAACAGTCCCCAGTCACAGCTTCATCTTTCGCACCGTGAGTGAAAACGACATTTTCAAGGCTTTACGAAACCATGGACATATCTAAGGCAACAGGTGCAGACACCATTCCAGCTAAAGTCATTAAAACTGCAGCACCATACATCAGCAATGTTGTAGCTAAGTTATTCAACATATCCTTCAGATGCAGCCGCTTTCCGCCCACCTGGAAAACGGCAAGAGTGACTCCTTTGTTTAAAGGAGGGACCCAGACCGAACGTGATAATTACAGACCAATTTCCATCCTTTACTGTATCTGAAAAGTGCATGAATCGTTTGCCAACACTGATCTTCAAGGTTTTGCAGCAGACACTGACCTCATCAGTGACCACCAATTTGCATATGCCAGGTCTTCGTCCACCACAGTTGCGCTCATCGTAGCTGTTGCTTCAAACTTGCCATCGACAAGGGCGAAAAAGTTGTCTGTACTTTCTTAGACCTAAGAAAGGCTTTTGACGTAATCGAACACATCTCGATCAGCAAATTGTCAAAACGCGGAGAGACTGGAAACGAACTTGAATGGTTCAAAAGCTACTTACAGGGGAGAAACCAATTCGTGTCCTACGGAAGTGTCGAGTCTGAACGTCGTTTAATCACGCACGGAGTTCCGTTAGGTTCAGTTCTCGGACTTACTCTATTCAACATCCATATAAACGGTATCACCGACACCTGTACAAATAGCGAAGTAGTACTATACGCCGATGAGACGGAAATTCACGCCAGCGCAAAAGATGTTAGTACAGCAGAAAAACGAGTCAACAAAGATCTAGAGAGTACTGTCACATGGTGGAACCAGAATGGTTTAATAAGTAATCAAAAGAAATACGAGGCCATGTTGATCGGATCCAAGCATTTAGGAGTTACAATCAGTCAAAATATGACTTGGCAAGATCACGTTTCTTCGGTTGTCAACAAAGTCAACCAACGCCTTGGTGTCCTGAGAAGAGTAAAACAGATGCTACCACTCCAGTCCCGTCTAACTCTCTACAATAGTCTCATCCTTCCCTTGTTTGATTATGGTGATATTGTTTGGGGTGATAAGAACAACTCCACTCTAATGGAAAATGTTCAGATTCTTCAAAATAAAGCTGCTACGATAATTCTTGATCGCCATCCGCATGACTCGGCGTCCGAAGCTTGTGATTCTCTTGGTTGGAAACCACTGCATCTCAGGCGAGGTTTCCATCGTTGTACAACGATCTTCAGGTGTTTGAAAGGTCTTATTGACTTTGATTTTAATTTTGTTAGAAATAACTTAATTCATAATCATGATTACAACACGCGTTCCAAAGACGATTTTCATTTATCTGGCGTAAGAACAAACTGTGGCAAACGTTTTACGTATCAGAGCGTCGTAGACTGGAACTCTTTAAGTCAAGATATACGTGACACCGCTGTAATTTCTTACTTTAAATCTAAGCTTAAACATGCATTTTAGTTAAACATGCGTTGTCGACTGGAAGTAGGTTTCTATTCTTA